GTACTGGCGGTGGTGGATGGGAGCTACAGTCTGCAGAGCTGCCGCGTGCTCCGTGGAGGGGACCAGTGACTGGTTCTTCCAGCACAGCCAGAACAGCAATGGGAGTGCCCGGCAAATAGTGGGCGTGACCAGATTCCGCATGGGCGTGGCCGTCACGGTATTGGGCGTGGCCTTGCTGACGTGTAGTCAATAAACCAGTGGGCGTGGCCTGGCCTGGAGGGGGGCGCCTCCAATACCGTCGTGGGCGTGGCTGCTCGGCGGTGGGCGTGCTCTCGCTCACCTTCCAGATACTCGCCTCCTTGCCATACACTACAGCCATGTTGCTGGCCTTGCCGCCTTTGATGAGCTGCTTCTCCGTCTCGTTGAGCTCCTCGGACACGAAGCCCATGAAGGAGTTGTCCGGAGTGTGAGCTGCAGCCCGACCACGCGGAGGGAAAGGGGTCACTGGACAGCCGAGAACACGCCCAAGGCTCCCTGGACTGTCCCGTCCAAAGGGTCCTCATTGGGCAGGGTGAGAAGGGGAGGGAGGTGGGGGTCTGGCGGGGACAATGTCCATCCTCACCCTAGCTTGGGCACCTCCTTTCCAGACACTGTCACAAAGCATGGAGCAGAGACCTGAGAAGCCATCTAGCCACCCTCTCCTCATTTCCAGATGAGGAAACTGAAGCCCAGAGCTCTCCGTGCTCCCCTGTCATTCCAGATGGGACTCCCTCCGGCTCCTCCATCCCTGCCACCAGCCAGGCCACACCCACCTCTGGCCTGGCCCCTGTGACAGCTGCCTCCCCACATCTGCCGCGTCCTTGGCAATCTTTTCTCTAGAGCCATCCTTTCGATTCTAGGTCCTTTCAGCTCCCTCCTCTGCATAAACCCCACAGGCCACAGCCTCGCCCAGCGTCTCTGGCTCTGCCCATCCCTCTGGAGGTGTCCCTTCCCCCCTCCTCACCTGCAGAGGGGCACCCCCCTCCAGACAGGTCTGCACTCAAGTGGCCCTGCTGAGGAAGGGGGGATCTCTCCGGACCTGGTTGCTCCCTGTCCTCCTACCTTGCTTTATTTTTAATACACCACTCTCTAATCAGATGTTACACTACATATTTATTTGTACATTTATTACTGTAAGATGTAAGCCCCATGAGGGCAGGATCTATTCACTTCTGTGTCCCCAGCACCAGGCCCAGACCCTGTGCTGGTTAAATGACAGGTTTAGAACACAATTAGCTAACTTAATGGGAGTGGGCCAGGGAAGTACTGTGAACAACTAAAATTGCAGAGACCATTAAGCAAAGCGCTCCTTGGGGCAGCGCCAGGGTAAGGCCCAAGAGGGACTGGCCTCGTTAGGGCCCTGGGAAAGACAACCAGCCACCAGCCAGCCCAGGAGAGAGCTGAGCTTGGGGAGACCCTCTCAGCCCGTGAGTGAGTCTTTTGAACTAGTAAGCCTCTCTCCTCCTTTTGCCCCCCTTTCTTCAATTTATTCACTCAGTTCACATTCTCTGAGGACCTACCTAAACTCTAGAGAAAGTAAGATAAATTAATTAATACTTCTTTTTTTTCAAAGTGCTCCATAATCCATCAGGGGAAATAAATGTACAAGTAAATAACTACCACACTTCAGTATATGCTTCCGCAGAGTTCAGTTTTAAAATTATAAGAATAAAAGGAGTCGATACATTCTGCCTAGAATAGATGACAAGGGGGACCAGTGAAAGCAAGAGTAAAAAGAAGAGACATTTGACTTGGGGTTTGGCAGGCTGCGTAGAAGTCCGCCAAGCCTGGACTCCCCATCCAGTGGGCTCTACCCTGGGAAAGTCTTCATTTTCTCATCATAGATTACTGCAGAATCCTCTTAACCTGTCTTCTACTTCCCCATTCTCTATCACTCCCTCAAGCCATCTGTAACCTGTTAGGCTAATACACCTCAATAAAATCTTTTCTCCATGGCATGGATCCACCCACAGTGGATCCCAAATGTAAACTCAAGGACTTTCCTCGAAACACTCCACTCCTTGTTCCCTGATCCCTCAGGGCCCTCTCACCAGTTCTGGATGCTTCCAGCTCTGCAGCTCATCCCCTTCCTCAGCATCTCCTGGGTCATCTCCACCCGCTGGCCCACACTTCCTTTCCTTCCAGAAGTCTGTTCCCCTGGACCCACCCCACACAAACCACTCTTCCCCTGACATCGGCACTGAGGAAAGAGCCTGGTTCCCATGGAGCTGTGTGACCTCAAGTTGATCACTCTACCTCTCTGGACCTGTTTCCTCCTCCGGACTCCATGCAACCTTCCACCATCCTGCCCTTCTGGGATACAATCGAGTCATTACCTATTTCTTCAGAGACTGCACCCTTTGCCCATACAGCCTAGAACCTGGAGAAGGACAGGCTCAGCACAAAAATGAGTGCCCAAAAGAGACACCACCAATTTGACAGGCTAAATAAAGATCATCCGCTTTCCTTATCAGCAAGCCCCGCAGGACTTTGCCTAGAATCTATTTTGCTCTTAATTTAGACACAATCCTAACAAGGGTGCTTATCTGGCTTTCTGCCCCAGAGCCTTCAAAGAGCAGCAAATTAGACGTGCAAGATGCTACTGGAGGCGGCAGAACTGACAACAATTAAAAGTGACAGCTGATACACTCCCAGCAAGAGCCAGGCTAAACGACAGACAGACCCAGACCGGAGGGAACAGAGGAGGGGACTCCGCTCCGCACACCTCGGCCCTGAAGGGCAGGCCCAGCGCCGGAGCCACAGAACTGACCGGAGTTGCCAGGAAAAGGTTAAGTTATTTTCAGCCCACCGCACCCTGGAGGGTCAGTCAGTGTGAGTTCCTGCCCAGGCTCCCGTGGAAATAGTGGAGCCGGAAGTCTTGGCCCACGCCTGTAATCCCAGCACTCTGGGAGGCTGAGGCAGGAGGATCAAAAATTTGAGCTTAGCCTGGGCAACTTAGTGAGACCCTGTCTCCAAATCAAAAATACAAAGGGGGCTGGAGATGCAGTTCAGCGCGAAGGCCCTGGGCTGAATCACCAGTGCTGGGAGAGGCGGGGTGGGGGTGGGGATGGGGCGGCGGCGAGAGCTTGCTCAATTTTCAGCCCCTTGCGTTCCCACAGCCTTTCAGTTTTTTGCACATCCATCCGAACACATGTGCTCCCTCTGCTTGGAACAGGCTTCCTGCTCCCTTGCCCCCATGGAAGTCTCCAGTCCTCTGGGAGGCCCTGACTCTGAAGGGTGCCTAGCTGCGCTCCGCAGAAGGTCGCCAGCCCCACCGCTCCTCCAGATCCCTGCCTGCCAAAGGAGGAAGGCGGGGCCCGGTCCACTCTCCGTACCCATAGGAGGAAGAGGGAGCCCGGACGCCCGAACCCCGCCCCCGCCCCGCCCCGCTCCCCAGCACTCACGGAACATGGTCATGAACTGCTTGGGGTTGAGGTTCCAGTAGCCCCAGTTGGTCCGGTAGCCGTGCAGCGTGGCGTACTCTTCGTGGTTATATGCAGGTTCCGTCCCGAAGGTGTCGATGACCCGGATTCGGCACCTACCCCGACCCCAGGGACCCAGAACCAGGATCACACTTCTGTGTGCCCCTGGGCTGCAAGTGCCCAGCCAGGGGTGCTGTAACCTGCAGGAGGCTGAGGCAGGGTCCTGCCTTGCATAGAGGCACACGGCTAGAGCTTGGGAAGCTGTGTGACCTCAGCAAATTCCTTAACCTCTCTAGGTCAGCTTCCCTACTTGTCTCTGGGCTGTTCCCAGCTCCTGACCCCTGGTCCATGGTGGGGGTCTCCGAAGCTGTTAGCTCAGGAGGAGCTGCTTGGAGAAGAGGTTGGGGGGTCTCTACTGTCCCCAGGTCACCAAATCCTCCTATAGGATTTAGGATTTGCACTTTGAGATTGCAGTGCCTCAAGACTCCTCAGCAAGTTGGCTGCTTCTGGGGTGGGCAGAGCTCTGTCTGAGAGGCTTCGAGTTCAAAGCCCAAAGGAGCAACCAACGGCAAGGCCAGATGTGCTCTGACACTGCAGCTCCAGAACCTCCCCACCGTCCATCCCACCCCTGGGAGTATCCCCCTGAAGAAAAGTGTTAGAATGCAGACGCCCCTACAAGAAGCTCCTAGCCCCAGCTCCTTCCTGTTGACCCAGAATTGGCAGCAGAATGCTGAAGTCGGCAGTATTCCCCTAGAGAAGGGGCCCGGAGGAGGAGAGAGCCAGGTGCACAGAGAAGGCGCATTAATAATAAAAGCAATAACGCTGCCTGTCACTTTTTTCCCCCTAATAAAATCATGTGGGCTAGTCAATGGGACTGGAGCAAATGTAATAAATAGCAGGCTTCCTATGCTAAATTAAACCCTGCATCGGCCGGCTGCAGAGACTAGAAGAGATGGTAACTGCCTTACCCCGGACCTGCTCCCCACCCCAGCCCTCACAGCTGAGCCCTGGTGGGCTCCCCCGTTCCTCTTGCCACTGCTCTGACCCCTACTGCATCCAGGTTACCCCCGACTCCCACCCTAGGCCTTGAGGGACAAAGCAGAGGGACAAAAAGGGTGACTCTCCCTCTGGGGGTTGGAGATGGGAAATGGTAAGGGGATAGAGGCAAGGAGAATGAGACAGTGCCCTTCTCCACCCTGGAGCCCCTGGACATGGGGCAGGGCATGGGGAGCGGCTTCTACCCTGGCCTACGGGTCCCGGCTCCAGTTCTTCACCACAGTCCTCCTGCACCCTCTCACCGGTACTTCTTGAAGGAGAGTCCCATGTGCTGCTTCATCTGCTGCAGGCCGTGGTAGTCAGTGTAGATGAGGTCGAAAGGCAGGGGCATGGTGAGTGGGCAGTTTCCCCGGCCCGGCGGCACCCCTAAATTACTGAGAGAAGAGGCTTTCAGAATCTGAGCCCCAGGAAATCCACCTTCCCTGTGCCTGGAGGTGAAGTAGGGTGGGGCTGGAGCTCACCCCAGTTCCTATAGCCCATGGGGAAAAGGGTAGCTGGAAAGGGAGTGAACAGGATAGATGTGTACAACGCTACAGGTTTTTCACTGAACAGAGGGGCAAAGAGGGCTGTGATCGAGCCCAGGCTATCCTGCCAAGGGGTGCCTTTTGTAATTGCCCCATTGCACTCCTCCTGCAGGGCTGTGTCTGCACAGAGACAGACTTATACTAGCTGGTCCTCAGCTGTTATGATTTAGATCTACAGTTTCGTGTGTTCAGAGGTGGTGCTTTTGGAAGGTGATTGGATCAAGGGGACACTATATTCATCAGTTGATTCATCCACTGATGAGTTCATAGTTGAATCTGCTGTTAGGAAGTAAGGCCTTGGAGGAGATGAGTAACTGGATGCATGACCTAGAAGGGTATAGTCTTGTCCCCAGCTCCTCCCTTCCCTTCTCTGCATCCTGGCTGCCATGTGTTGAGCAGTTCTCCTCTGCCTGGCCCTTCACCATGCCATTTTGCCTTGGAGCCAGCCAGCCACAGACTAGACCCTCTGGAACCATGAGCCAAAATAAACTTCTCGTCCTTTAACTTCTGGGTATCTTGTATTTTGTCCTAGCAATGGGAAAGTGACTAATATATTGGTGTACCTTCAGTGTTAATTTGGAGCCAAGGGTCCCAAACTTCCTGTCTCAGAAAGCTATCTTGCCCTGCTGGTGGGGCTCCCAGGACCCCAGGGCATCCAGCCCCTACAACCTCCAGTCATACTGTGCGGGCTTTGAGTCCTCTGGGACTGGAGGCCTGCCTGTCCCTGCCTGCTGGTTCACTTATATGCCTACTTTCCTCTTGGATAGGGCTGTCTCAGGTGACCCAGCAGCTGCAGCTCATCCAGATTGGGGTGGTGCCCTCTGCTGTCTGGCAGGAGCCCTGGGTCACCTCATCTAAGCAGAGGCAGAAGGGCAAGGCCCAGTCTCACAGCTTCCTCTAGAATCACTATGGGCTTAGTCGTCTCGAAGAGCTCCAAGCACCCTGTCCCGGCAATTATTCCTGCCAATCTGAGCTCCTCTGCCCACTGACACTACCCTTCCCATAAAATCAGCCCTTTCTCCAGAGTCCCCTGCTAAGTAAATGCCACAGCCCCAGTTTTCCCCGGCGGGGGTGATCAGGCATTCGGTCACATATTTAGCAAGTCTCTACTGGGCTTCTGAGCCAGGCAAGTGTGGGCCACCCTACCTCCTCCCACCACATGCCCCAATCAGCCAGAGGTGAAAACCCAGGGTCTCACAAGGGGTGCTGAGCCTGCACCCAGGGCCTACCTTCCCCATGGAGTCTTCCCATTAATCTGTTTAACAGGTATTTCCTGAGTGTATGTGGGGTGGCAGGTCCTGTGCCCCAGTGAGACATGGGACACCCCCTCCCCCAGGAGCACAGAGTCAAATGAAGAGCGTGTGGCCTGGGACACGATGCAAAGATGGGAACAGACTGGGCCAGCAGAAGGAGGCATTGCTGTGTGGTTCTGGTCCATTGTAGGGACAGGCAGAGAACCACAGGGAGGGATCCCAGAGCCCCGTCCCTGTCTTTCTGGACAGCTGAAAGGATCCCCTTATGGGTCTGATGCGCCCACCTGCTGCCTCTGACCAGGCCATGCGCACCTCCTTTGGATTCTGGTTCAGAGCCAGACTCAGGAAGAGACCAGGAGGGCCTCCCAGTGAGTCTCCTCCTCCAGATCCGTGCAATGGGCAAACCCAGGCCAAGAGGTGATGTACTTTGACAAGGACACCGATTCATTCACGGCAAAGGACCACAGTTGATCAGTTGCCTGCGTTATGTCTCAGGCTCCCTGAAATAACCCAAACCAGGTGGAAAAGTACCGGCTGGGAGGCGGAGCGCTCTGTCTGCGCATGCTCAGCACCTCACGGTCAGGAGCTGGGAACGGGGGGCCGCTCACACTGTGCCTTGAGCACACTGTCCAGAGTGGTGCCTTTCTGGTGATGTCTATGGTCATCACCCGACGGGGCTATGATGGAAAGGCTTGGGGGGAAGCTGCTCACCGTGGGATCCAGGCATGAGAGCTCTGCTTGTGCCAGCAGAGAAGAGGGCAAGAGGGAGGGGCCCTCCGTGCGCACCCGTCTGAGCTGCCTCACATAGCCCTCCCCACCAGGTCAGAAGCTCTGCTTTTTTTCTTGACCATACGCTAACAAATGGTCACGGCCCCTGCCCCAACCCCTCCCACACACACTTGTGCCCCACCCCACACTCACACCAGTGCTGCTCAGCCCGTGATGCTTCTTAAGCTTTTTGTTGTTGTTGTTCTTGAAAGACCCAGACAGCAAAGGAGAGAGCACAGACCCCGAGGGTCTGGAGCTTTCCCAGGAAGCAGCTCCCACGATCTGGAGACTTCATGAAATATTTGGTGGTACTTCCAGCTGCAGACCGCATTCTGCATTCTACCCCACAGGACAGCCCTGTGTTTTCTGTGTGAAACATTGCCTTCCTCATCGCCCAGACTCCCCGAATTAAACTGACAGCCCAGGAAGGGGCATCACTTTTATCCTGGGGCTTCAGAAGTGCCAGGTGGAGGACAGGTCCCTCCTCATCACTCCTCACCCAGCTGAGAGCCACAAACAAAAGGCCACAAAGATGATTCCTTGAGCCCCTCCTCGTGAACAGAGGAAGCAGGTGGCCATGTCTTCCAGGGAGAAGCTCCCAGGCCACTCCTCCCAGGTGGCCTGGTAAAAAATATGAACCACAGTAGGTGGGTCTGGGAGCTGCTCCTGTACCAGTGCAATGGCACCTTCCCCACACAGTTCTGGTTGGTTTCCAGGCAACGTGCATCCTTCTGTCTCTAGGGCCTCCTTTTGTGGACTCCTCCACCCACCATACTCCTGACCTCAGTTCTGGACACCAGGCCCCCTGAGGACAGATGGGAAACAACAAGTGGCTCCTCTCTCCTGGAAGATGTCTCCTAGGATGTCCCCAGGCCCACCCAGGTGCCATCATCTTTGTCACCTTTATGGCTACATTTTGAACATGGGCACCATTCCTGATCTTTCAGTGTAATTCATCGATTCATTTCATGGATGAAGTCAGACCCACGCACAACCTGTTCCCCTTTACGGATTTGGAAACAGAGAGGTTTAGCAATTTATCCGGGGCTGCACAGCCAGGAAAGGCTGGGATGGAAACCCAGGTAGTCGGGCACCGGAGCCCACACTGGCACACGAGGGGCTCTCCCGCCTCCCAGCCCATTGAATGTCAGACAGCACAATGGTGCTCAGGGGACCACAGTGACATCTAGGCAGTTAGGGCCCTGGGCTGCCAGCAAAGACGCGGGTCCAGTCCCTGTTTTGCTGCCAACCTTCAGTGAGTGAGAAGCCTCTGGGAGTTTCATTTCCTCCAGAACCTGAGTCCCCCAACACCTCACTTCAGGCCTGAGAATTTCTCACCCACAATCTTGAGATCATTTCGCGTGCACCTCCTACTTCTTCTAGGGGGGTCTTCCTACACCTGTTCCCACCTCCCAGGGTTCTGGGCCCCTCCGGGGCAACCCCCTGCCTTCTGGACCTGCACTGCTAGGGTCCTTCCCCTGCTAACCCTGCTAGAGCTCCAGGCCCTTGCCCACACCGTGTCCCCCGGGGCCTACAGTGACCCCTCCTGGTGGCACAGGGCCCTGTGTACATGGAATGAGCAGGGAGTTGGCTGGGTGGGGCTGCAGGACCCTGCATGTATCACACCCATTCCCACTGCGCTACCTCCACCCTATGGGCACCTTGGCCCCCAGATGCAGAGCCCAGGGTGCTGTGTGCACACACACTCCGGCTCCATGTGAAGGCAAAGCTTGACAAAATCACAAAAGCGGGGATGGTATTAGTGGGTCCGGGAGGAAGCTAGGATCAGAGCAGCAGCCACCAGCACCCACCTAAAATAAGATGAACACTTCCTGCTCCTGTCACACGTGATACCAGCTGCAGTGGAAATTTCAAAGTCATGGTCACTGTCCTCCCCTCTGACCCTTCAGTTCGCATGGGATGGGGCCCTCTTGGGCAGAAACTGTTTGCTCCCCCTAGAAGGTAGCCTAGAGCCTTCTCAGGTCCCCAAGGGTCACCCTCCCACAAGCCCTGGATCTTTACTCTTTGTCTTGTCACCTGGTGACTAAGTCACTTTCTTTCCACCGGGGGCTCCTGAGGGCACAGCCTGGTCATCTTTGGTTTTTTGGTTTTTCTCCAGTAGCGGGAACCGAACTCACGACCTTGCGCTTGCCAGGCAGGCGCTTTGCCGCTGAGCTAAATCCCCAGCCAGCCTGGTCATCTTTGAAAGGTCGGGGGTCTTGTCCTTTGCAAGGGCAAGACCCAGCCCAATAAATATCTGTTGTGTTCATGAAAGAATCAGCAAATGTCTGATCTGGTGGCCCAGGGAAAAACTGCTCTCAATGTGTGAAGTGTGGCCCAGAAATGCCTCTCTGGGCAGAGGGAGTAGGGGGTGAGGAGCTGGAGGCTGGGGGTCCACACGTGTGGGGTGTTGGTGCTCCCACAGATAACAGGCCTGCTGAATATGAGGGCCTTGAATGGGGGCCTCTGTAGAGGATGGGGGGCAGGAGCGAGAGACAGAGACACAGTGGCCCAGGGATGCCGTGTCCTCTTCCCCGGAGATCTTAACGAGAAGCCTGTGGTCTGGCCCAGAGGATGCGGTTTCTGTTTAAGGTGACCTCGCTGAGGTGGCCTCATTGCTCTTGTCCCAGGGAATCTGGGCTTTGCTCATGGAGAGCAGAGGGGTCGGCTACGGAAGAACGGGCCGTAGTTTTATCACCTGTAATTCAAGTTCACTTTTATGGGCAATTTTACACTAAGTGGTTGGCTGGAGCATCAGCAGGAATTGAAAAACACTGCCTCCGAGAACGTCCAGCCAAAAGTGCACGGGGAAGTGTGCCAGGCTGGCTG